TTTATGGAGCTGGATTTGTACACAGGGCCACAGTCCTACTGGAACAGAAAAAGGTCTCCACTAAACTTCTCACCACAAGGGTAGGAGAGCACTATGTCTTAGTATGCTGTAGTATTACCAAAACCCTTCACTGGAAACATCTGAACTCAGCCATTTGGAGGGGATTCCACATACTTTTGGTCATATGGTGGGTTCCTTGCAATGGCAGAAGGGGCAGGTATGTACTTATAGAAGAAGATGGGGTCAAGGCCTGTGCATGGCTGGCCATCAAACATTATGTTTGTGTTCGACATGAACTCAAGCCTCCTGTCTTCCACTGGGGAGTGCTGACACAGCAAGGAGGGAGTGTTGGGGATGTTAAAAACACACCATGTTTACATTGGTTGGGCATTTGTGACCTTATACGGACACATATGTATAGATATATATATTGGGTGTCTGTCATAGTTATGGAGCTACGCTTTATCCAAAATACGTAGGCTGGAGAAAAGAAAGTGAGACAAAAATACACAACGAAAACAGGTAAAACTTTCTTTATTTACAACTTTTAAATACAATTAACTTATACTTTACCGATATCACCCCCTCCTCCTACCACTCAATTTCACATCTTCAGCTACAAGCAAGCAGGGCCTGGAGGTCTACATACGGGAAGGTGGCCACTTGTGTGGACCTGAAGGTGTATTACGGGAAGCTGACCATTGTTGTGGACCTGAAAGTGTATTATGGGGTACTGACCATTGTTGTGGGCCTTGAGATGTTTCTGCGGGGTACTGACCATTGTTGTGGGTTTTGAGATGTACTACGGGGACTGACCATTGTTCTGGGCCTTGAGATGTTTTATGGGGTTCTGACCATGGTCGTGGGCCTTGAGATGTGCTAGGGGGTTCTGACCATGGTCGTGGGCCTTGAGATGTGCTAGGGGGTTCTGACCATGGTCGTGGGCCTTGAGATGTGCTAGGGGGTTCTGACCATGGTCGTGGGCCTTGAGATGTGCTACGGGGTTCTGACCATGGTCGTGGGCCTTGAGATGTGCTACGGGGTTCTGACCATGGTCGTGGGCCTTGAGATGTGCTACGGGGTTCTGACCATGGTCGTGGGCCTTGAGATGTGCTACGGGGTTCTGACCATGGTCGTGGGCCTTGAGATGTGCTACGGGGTTCTGACCATGGTCGTGGGCCTTGAGATGTGTGTTCTGACGGGGTTCTGACCATGGTCGTGGGCCTTGAGATGTGCTACGGGGTTCTGACCATGGTCGTGGGCCTTGAGATGTGCTACGGGGTTCTGACCATGGTGGGGCCTTGAGATGTGCTACGGGGTTCTGACCATGGTCGGGGGGCCTTGAGATGTGCTACGGGGGTTTGACCATGACCATGGTCGAGGGCCTTGAGATGTGCTACGGGGTTCTGACCATGGTCGGGGGCCTTGAGATGTGCTACGGGGTTCTGACCATGGTCGGGGGCCTTGAGATGTGCTACGGGGTTCTGACCATGGTCGGGGGCCTTGAGATGTGCTACGGGGTTCTGACCATTGTCGGGGGCCTTGAGATGTGCTACGGGGTTCTGACCATTGTCTGGGGCCTTGAGATGTATTACGGGGGTTCTGACCATTGTTGGGGGGGGTCTTAAGGTGTATGATGGGAAGCTAACCATTGTTGTGAACCTTGAGATGTAATATAGGGAGCTGGCCATTGTTGTGGGCCTGGACATGCATTACAAAGTGCTGACCATTATTGTGGGCCTGGCGATATATTTGGGGGTGCTGACCATTGTTGAGACCTCAAAATGCTCATTAGAGGTACAGTGGTCATTGGCTGTGAGTTAGTTACGATGGCTGTTTTATATTTCCCCAGATTTTTTTTTACTTTTCTAGTGCAGAAGTGGGCCTTGCACTCTCTGACATAAGTTAAACTTGCAAATTGTCTGGTACCATCTGATAAGGCTAGTCCACATTCTTCTACACACAAGGTCAGCTTCCAAAAGGACACCTCTGTGATCAAGAAATTGCTAGGCCCAACCTTAGAAATATTAAGACAGCTTACAAAATTGGAGGCCTCCATTGTGCCTAAGCAATGTCTCAGCTGTACAGGAAAATGATAGGCCTCAACGTAATAAACAGTAGGATAGTTTACAAAATGACGGCCTCCACTCTGCCTCAGTGATGTCTGGGAGGTACAGGATATAGTAGGCAACAACCTTAAAAAAAAAAAAAATTAAGACAGCACAGAAAATGGCCACCTCCTGTACTCTAGCGATGTCACTGGTGCACACAGGAAAGGTAGGCCATATTTTCATGAATACTAGGACAGCTTACAAAATGGCCAATGTTCCTCAGTGACGTCACTGGTGCACATGGAACCGAGGCCACACTCTCAAAAAAAAAAAAAATGGCCACTTCAACTGTACCTTGGTGACATCATTGGCTAGACATTGGCCTTACCTATAAGAGGCTGCCGCTCATGCAGAAAAGGCCAGCGTCTGGAAGAGTAGGCGCACACAGGATGGAGCACATCCATACCCTTCATAGACACAACTGCAAACGAACAGCCAGACACATTGGTGACCGCATTTCAATAGAACTTTATTGGACGTGAACAGAGAAGCCCCTCATTTTGACATGTTTCACCCTGGCATAGGCTTTTTTTTTTGTAGAGATGAAACTTCCATCTCTATGATTAGGCTTGCCTATCCGAGGGTGAAATGGGAAGGTCCCAGGGGGAGCTTCTGTGTGCATGTCCAGAACAATAAAGTTCTATTGAAATGCTGTCATCATTGGCGTGTGGTCGATTCTTTGCAATCATGGCCTTACATTTATTGGTTCAGACTGACAGACGAAATGACCGACCCCTTGTGCATCTACATAGGGATCTTTGTAGGACACTAATGAACAGGCAGAAGAGAAAAGGTGGGGAGATATGTGGAACACATGAAAAGATGCCATATTTCCTCTCTCCATGGGATGATCGTACACAAAATGGTGGCAGGTCAGGGAAGAATGAGGCTGGATATCTGGCAAGTATCAGAACGCATTAGGGGCTCTTCTTTTTGCCCTGGCGACCTGACAAAATAAAAGACAACAGTTTGTGAAGAACAGTATGGCTTCCACTATGTCAACATTACCTAAGAAATTCGAGGCTATGTCCACCTTTTGCATCTATTGGCACCTTGTTACGTTATAAACTAAACATGGGTGTAACATAGCATAAAAAGTGGAGTGAAATGTTATTTTTCGCCCCACCAGTTAGGATATTATCTGCTAAGACAACGGTGAGTGTCATTGTGTAGGAACCTACAGTTGCAAGAAAAAGTATGTGAACCCCTTGGGATTACGTGGAGTTTTGCATGAATTGGGCATAAAATGTGCTCTGAATGTCATCTAAGTCACAACAATAGAAGAACACAGTCTGCTGAACATAATACTACACAAACATTAGATGCTGCCATGGTTTAATTGCACATAACATGTAAACATTCACAGTGCAGGGAGGAGGAAAAAGTATGTGAGGCCCTAGCTTAATGACTTCTCCCAGAGCTAATTGGAGCCAGGAGTGAGCCAACCTTGACTCCAATCAGTGTGATGATATTGGATGTGTTGCTGACAGCTGTCCTGCCCTTAAAAAAACACACGCCTGTTTTGGGTTTACTGGTTTCAAGAAGCACTGTCTGATGTGAACCATGCCTCGCAGAAAAGAGCTCTCAGAAGACCTACGATCAAGAATTGTTGACTTGCATGAGGCTGGAAAGGGTTACAAAAGTATCTCCAAAAGCCTTGATGTTCATGTGTCCACGGTAAGACAGACTGTCTACAAATGGAGAAAGTTTAGCACTGTTGCTACTCTCCCTAGGAGTGGTCGTCCTGTAAAAATGACTGCAAGAGCACAGCGCAGAATGCTGCATGAGGTAAAGACGAATCCCAGAGTGTCAGCTAAAGACCTACAGAAATCTCTGGCACATGCTAACATTTTTGTTGACACATCTACAATAAGGAAAACATTAAACAAGAATGGAGTACATGGGAGGACACCACGGAGGAAGCCATTGCTGTCCAAAAAGAAGATTGCAGCACGTTTGAAGTTTGCAAAAGAGCACCTGGATGTTCCACAGCACTACTGGCAAAATATACTGTGGACAGATGAAACCAAGATTGAGTTGTTTGGGAAGAACACACAACATTATGTGTGGAGAAAAAAAGGCACAGCACACCAACATCAAAACCTCATCCCCACTGTGAAACATGGCGGAGGGAGCATCATGGTTTGGGGCTGCTTTGCTGCCTCAGGGCCTGGACGGATTATTGTCATTGATGGGAAAATGAATTCCAGAGTTTATCAAGACATTTTGCAGGAAAACGTACGACCATCTGTCCGCCAGCTGAAGCTCCGCAGAGGATGGGTGATGCAACAGGACAATGACCCAAAGCATACAAGTAATTCAACAAAACAATGGCTGCAACAGCACAGAATACGCCTTCTGGAGTGGCCCAGTCAGAGTCCTGACCTCAACCCGATTGAAATGCTGTGGCATGACCTTAAGAGAGCGATTCACACCAGACATCCCAAGAATATTGCTACACTGAAACAGTTTTGTGAAGAGGAGTGGTCCAAAATGATTCCAGATCGTTGTGCAGGTCTGATCTGCAACTACAGGAAACGTTTGGTTGAGGTTATTGCTGCCAAAGGAGGGGCAACCAGTTATTAAGTCCAAAGGTTCACATACTTTTTCCTCCCTGCACTGTGAATGTTTACATGTTATGTGCAATTAAACCATGGCAACATCTGTTTGTGTAGTATTATGTTCAGCAGACTGTGTTCTTCTATTGTTGTGACTTAGATGACGTTCAGAGCACATTTCATGCCCAATTCATGCAAAACTCCACGTAATCCCAAGGGGGTCACATACTTTTTCTTGCAACTGTATACTCCCCCAACAGGACTCCATACTTGGGTGGAGTGGTAAAGGGCTTGACGCTCCTTGGGTCTTCTCTGCTGTTTGATGGGATACTTACGGAGCTCCAGGTTTCTGGTGATTGCCGATGATACCCGTGCCCTTGGTCCCTGCCTTGTAAAATGGTACCCAAATCGAATAATAGAAGGACAGTTTTTCAATCATAGAGGCCATCTCCATCTCTACCGTGTCTCCGAGGTTCTGATGCTGCACGGGGAACAAGAGTCAATGATTCAGTCACCATAAATTCAGTCTTTGGCCACTAAGCATATACCCATTGTCAGGGGCGGACTGACAACTCATGAGGGCCCCCGGGCAATAGGGGATCATGGGGCCCCTGTGTCCTTGCCCAAACTTAATAAAGCCTATGAAAAAGGTACCAGGGGCATCTCATGGGGCCCCCTACTGACCCCGGGCATTGCCAGAGTTTTCAAATGGTCAGTCTGCCCCTGCCATGGTGAAACTACAAGAACCTGCTGTCAGATTTTCAGGCAGGGTCCCGACCTGTGTGGCAGAGCTACTACTTGCTTTGTATTAACACCGAAAACCCAGGAAATAGGTGTACCTGCACAGCGCTTGTTAAATACGTATATATACAACCATTGATACATTGTAGTTCGCTTCTGCTTTCAGAGTAATTGCAATGTATCTTTTTCTTTACACAAGACTATAACCAAACTTTATCAAGCCAAAACTTTTCTTTTTCATTTTGCATAGAGTAGGGAAGAGCTAAAACCCAATCTTTTTTTTTTTTGGTTATGTGGCCAATCCCTTCCTAGATAGTTGTTGTAAAAGGAGATAAGCTTTTATACCTCAACCTTTCAACATCCCTCGTCAAATGACTTCTAGAGCCCTTAAGTAAAACAAACACATGCCAAGTGGGCATATAATAACTTACCTGATTATCCACCTTCAGTTCAGTCAACGTAGAGTTGTGTTTCATGGCCAGAATGACGGCCAGCATCCCCGCACTGGAGATAAAATTTGACTCGATATTCAGACTCTCCAAAGTCTTATTTCCCTTCAACATTTCAGCTACAGCCTGCAAAAAAAATATTTAGCCACAATTAGAGGACAGTGTGATTGTTTCTGGGGAGCTATGTTAAAGGCGGTGACATACTAAGTACACACAACACACTGGAGGGCCTTCAGAATGTTCACCTTCAGAACGTTCATGAGGAACATGCAACACACTGCCCACAATACAACTGGAGAGCCTACGCCTTCAGAATGTTCATGATGAAAATGTACCATCAATCGTACTCTACGCTATCTACAAAATAACTTGAGTCTACATACATTTGGAGCGTTCAGGGGAACATCTCCCATCAAACATGGTGACATACTATCTACCCACAACACAACTGGAGAGCCTACGCCTTCAGAACGTTCATGGTGAAAATGTACCATCAATCGTTGTCTACACTATCTACAAAATAACTTGAGTCTACACATTCGGAGCGTTCAGGGGAACATGTCTCATCAAACATGGTGACATACTATCTACCCACAACACAACCGGACAGCCTACACCTTCTATCATTCGGAGGAATATGTCCCAACAAATGGTGTGATCATATTAAATACTCCCAACACAACTGGAGAGCTAACGCCTTCAGGAGGAACATATTCCACCAAAGGTGGTGATATATTAACTGCCCACAACACAAATAGAGAGCCTGCACCTTCAGAACATTCATGGTGAGCATTTCCCCTCAAATGTAGTGATACAATAACTATCCACAGCATAACTGGAGAGTCTACACATTCAGGGCAACATGTCCCATTAAACATGGTAATATACTGTCTACCCCCAACACCACTGGAGAGCCTGACCATGCAGGGTGAACATTTCCCAACAAATGTGGTGACTGTACTAAATACTCCCAACACAACTGGAGACCCTACTCCTTCAGAACTTTTCGGAGGAACGTGTCCCATCAAAGGTGGTGCCATACTAACTGCCTACAATACAACTGGATAGCCTGCACCTTCAGAACATTCGGGGTGAATAAGTCCCATCAAACATAGTGACATACTTATTATCCACAACACAACTGGAAAAGCTACACTTTAAGAACATTCAGGTAGAACATGCCCCATCAAATGTGGTGACATGCTAACTATCCACGACACAACTGGTGAACCTAGTTTCAGAACATTCAGGTAGAACATGTCCCATCAAATGTATTGGGTGTGGTTATATGTCACCATATTTGATGGGACAAGTTCTACCTGAATGTTCTGAAAGTGTAGGTTCACCAGTTGTGTTGGGAGTAGTTACGGTAACCACATTTGTTGGAAAATGTTCTCCCTGAAAGGTCAGAAGGTGTAGGCTCTCCAATGGTGTTTGGGGTAGACAGTATGTTACCCTGAATGTGTAGGCTCCCCAGTTGTATTGGGTGTGGTTAGTATGTCACCACAACTGGAGAGCCTACACCTGATCATTCAGGGGGAATATGTCCCATCAAATGTGATTCAGGCTAACCCTTCACAACACCGCTAGAAGACCTGGTCTGCAGTCAGTGCTTCAACTCATCCAAAAGGTGTTCTGTAGAGTTGAGGTGCAGGACACTCGAGTACCTCCAGACCAAACTGGTCAAACCACATCCTATGGAGCTGGCCACCATTTGTGAAGTCAGGTGCTGATGTTGGATGAGAAAACCTGATTCATCACTGCCATTCCAGCTCACTCAAAAGGTGTTCAGTAGGGTTGAGGCCAGGACTGTGTGCAGGACACTCGAGTTCCTTCACACCAAACTGGTCAAACCATGTCTTTGGTCACTCTTTCCTCTTATCAGCCCAAGCCTTGTTAGAACATGGGCACTGCAGCACAACTGACTGACTACTTGTGCTGCTGCTTCCCCCTCCCGGTCCGAGCGCTTCTTCCCCCTCCCGGTCCGAGCGCTTCTTCCTCTTTCCGGTCCGAGCGCGGCTTCCCCCTCCCGGTCCGAGCGCTTCTTCCCCCTCCCGGTCCAAGCGCTTCTTCCCCCTCCCGGTCCGAGCGCTTCTTCCCCCTCCCGGTCCGAGCGCTTCTTCCCCCTCCCGGTCTGTCTGAGCGCTTCTTCCCCCTCCCGGTCCGAGCGCTTCTTCCCCCTCCCGGTCCGAGCGCTTCTTCCCCCCCCCCCCCGGTCCGAGCGCTTCTTCCCCCTCCCAGATCTGCATTCATTTTGTAAACCCATAATAGGGACTTAGTGTTCTCTGCCAAAAAAAAAACAAAAACAAATAATTGCTTTCCTAATATATTAAATTCTGAAAAATGAATAATTTTTGTTTATATGAGCACAGAATTCATTTGGCTGCAACAAAGTGCGCTAACCGCGACTGCCTGGGGTACTATGCCGCCGGAACACTCCGCCATCTCCTTCCCGGCACTCGGAAAATGACGTTCAGAAACCGAGAAACAACAAAACTTCCATTTTCCCTGTTCCACTTTTATAATTGAGCCCCGCTCATCCCGCTTTCCCCTCCAGCCCCTCATTAAAAAAAAAGCTGCTTATAAACAAAATGACATTTCATCTTTTTTTTTTTTTTTTTTTTTTTTTTAGGGCACATTATTTGCTAATTTGCAGATGAAAGGTAATAAAAGTAATGGATTTAAAGTCCTGGGCCTGCAAAATGGCTTTTTAATTCAATTACTTTACATCTAGAGAGGAGAACGTAGTTAATGAACATCCATTACAGACAAGCAATTTACCATCAGATGGATGGAACGTGTAGGGGATGGCCGCGTATTGACGTCTCTCCGAAGCGCTGTCTTCTTTTATGCACTTGATGATCTATCCCGTGCGCTTTGAGTGCTCCAGCTCTGTGCTGCCATCTAGTGTCTGATTGTTAAAATAGCAGCTTGAATAAAATACAGGATATTGCCAAAAGTATTGGTTGGCCGTCCTTTCCACGCACATGACCTTTAATGGCCTCCCAGTCTTAGTCCGTAGGGTTCAATATTGAGTTGGCCCCGCCCTTTCCACACACATGACCTTTAATGGCCCGCAGACTTAGTCCGTAGGGTTCAATATTGAGTTGGCCCCACCCTTTCCACACACATGACCTTTAATGGCCTCCCAGTCTTAGTCCGTAGGGTTCAATATTGAGTTGGCCCCGCCCTGTCCACGCACATGACCTTTAATGGCCCCCCAGACTTAGTCCGTAGGGTTCAATATTGAGTTGGCCCCGCCCTTTGCAGCTATAACAGCTTCAACTCTTCTGGGAAGGCCGTCCACAAGGTTTAGGAGGGTGTCTATGGGAAGGTTGGACCATTCTTCCAGAAGCACATTTGTCAGGTCAGGCACTGATGTCGGGGGAGGGGGCCTGGCTCGCAGTCTCCGCTCTAATCCATCCCAAAGGTGTTCTATGGGGTTGAGGTCAGGACTCTGTGCAGGACAGTCAAGTTCCTCCACCCCAAACTGGCTCCTCCATGTCTTTATGAACCTTGCTTTGTGCACTGGTGGGCAGTCATGTTGGAACAGGAAGGGGCCATCCCCAAACTCTTCCCACAAAGTTGGGAGCATGAAAATGTCCAAAATGTCACCTTAAGAGTTCCCTTCACTGGAACTAGGGGGCCAAGCCCAACCCCTGAAAAACAGCCCCACACCATAATCCCCCCTCTACCAAACTTTACACTTGGCACAATGCAGTCACGCAAGTACCGTTCTGGCCACTGCCAAACCCAGACACATCCATCAGATTGCCAGACAGAGAAGTGTGATTGGTCACTCCAGAGAACACATCTCCACTGCTCTAGAGTCCAGTGGCGGCGTGCTTTACACCACGGCATCCGACGCTTTGCATTGCAATTGGTGATGGAAGGCTTGGATGCAGCTGCTCGGCCATGGAAACCCATTCCATGAAGCTCTCTATGCACTGTTGTTGGGCTCATCTGAAGGCCACACCAAGTTTGGAGGTCTTTAGCTATTGACTCTGCAGACAGTTGGTGACTTCTGCGCACTGTGCGCTTCAGCATGCGCTGACCCCGCTCTGTCATGTGACGTGGCCTACCACTTGGTGGCTGAGTGGCTGTTGTTCCCAGTTGCTTCCACTTTGTTATAATCCCACTAACAGTTGAGCGTGGAATATTTAGTAGCCAGGAAATGTCACGGATGGACTTATTGCCCAGGTGGCCACCTATCACGGGACCACGCTTGGAGCCACTGAGCTCCTGAGAGCGACCCATTCTTTCACCAATGTTTGTAGAAGCAGTCTGCATGCCTAGGGGCTTGATTGTATACACCTGTGTCCATGGAGGGGATTGGAGCACCTGAATCACATGATTGGGAGGGGATTGGAACACCTGAATCACATGATATGGAGGGGATTGGAACACCTGAATCACATGATTGGGAGGGCGGGGCCAATACTTTTGGCAATACAATGTAGAATAAACCTGAACTGGATGATAGTTGGTTTGCTTTGAGCACAGAATTTTAACCACAATTGACATCACCATTTTTATCCTGTTTTGTATCTCAGGGCTGCTGTTCTTCCGCAGCCTATTTCAGCCACTTCCTTTCTACATGCAACGTCGGCTGCACATCATTGCTCTTGTCCGGCTTTTGTGATAGTGATCCGCACATTGTATCTGGGTGCTGACGCTCCATCAGGAGCACATGTGAGAGGATGACAACTCAGGAGCACATACTGGGTCATGCGTGTCACCCTATAACAGGATGTGCTTAAACAAGTATTTTTATGGCAGGATCACCAAGTATTATTTTAATGAAAGCTGCAGCTTTTTAACCACTTCCTGTCCGTATATAAACAGCCAGATGGGAACAGTGCAGGGGCGGGTGGCCGTTTATAAACGTCCTCCCGGCTCCCTGCTTGTGCACGATCCCTGGGAGGTCCCGATCATGTGATCACTGACTGGCCAATCAGTGATCACATGCAGAGTAGTAAGCAAGATGTCACTTCTGACATCATTGCTTACTACGTGTGAAATCTGTGAATGATCACAGAGATCACATGGCACAGGGCTATTCACAACAGCCTTGTACCATGTGACAAGCTGTGACCAATCACAGCTCTCACAGTATTTCTCAATGGCTGCAAGAATACAGCCAGAGAGGAGAAATGATTGCTTTTACAGCCTTTATGGATGTAAAAGCAATCCGTGTACAAAAAAAAAAATCTTCATCACCCCCCACAAGTAGTACAGTAGCAAAAAAAATAAAAATCCCAGCAGTGAATAAATACCACCAAAATAAAGTTTTATTTGTCTAAACAAAATGCTAAAAAATTCATATGGGTACAGTGTTGCATGACCGCGCAATTGTCATTCAAAGTGTGATAGCGCTGAAAGCTGAAAATTGGCCTGGACTGGAAGGGGGGGAAAGTGTCCAGATTGGAAGGGGGGGAAAGTGTCCGGACTGGAAGGGGGGGTGAAAGCGTCCGGACTGGAAGGGGGGGTGAAAGCGTCCGGACTGACTGGAAGGGGGGGTGAAAGCGTCCGGACTGGAAGGGGGGGTGAAAGCGTCCGGACTGGAAGGGGGGGTGAAAGCGTCCGGACTGGAAGGGGGGGAAAGCGTCCGGACTGGAAGGGGGGGAAAGCGTCCGGACTGGGAGGGGATGAAAGTGTCCGGACCGGAAGGGGGGTGAAAGTGTCCGGACCGGGAGGGGGGGGAAAGCGTCCGGACCGGGAGGGGATGAAAGCGTCCGGACCAGAAGGGGGGGAGAGCGTCCGGACCGGCAGGGGGGGAGAGCGTCCGGACCGGAAGGGGGGGGGAGAGCGTCCGGACCGGAAGGGGGGGGAGAGCGTCCGGACCGGAAGGGGGGGAGAGCGCCCGGACCGGGAGGGGGGGGGGAAAGCGTCCGGACCGGGATGGGGGGAAAGCGCCCGGACCGGAAGGGGGGGGAGAGTGTCCGGACCGGAAGGGGGGGGGAGTGTCCGGACTGGAAGGGGATGAAAGCGTCTGGACTGGAAGGGGGGGGGGGGAAAGCGTCCGGACCGGAAGGGGGTGAAAGCGTCCGTACCGGAAGGGGGTGAAAGCGTCCGGACTGGAAGGGGGTGAAAGCGTCCGGACTGGAAGGGGGGGAAAGCGTCCGGACTGGGAGGGGTGAAAGCGTCCGGACTGGAAGGGGGGAGAGTGTCCGGACCGGGAGGGGGTGAAAGCGTCCGGACCGGAAGGGGGGGAGAGCGCCCGGACCGGGAGGGGGGGGAAAGCGTCCGGACCGGGATGGGGGGGAAAGCGCCCGGACCGGAAGGGGGGGGGGGGAGAGTGTCCGGACCGGAAGGGGGGGGGGAGTGTCCGGACTGGAAGGGGATGAAAGCGTCTGGACTGGAAGGGGGGGGAAAGCGTCCGGACCGGAAGGGGGGGGGGGTGAAAGCGTCCGTACCGGAAGGGGGGGGAAAGCGTCCGGACCGGAAGGGGGTGAAAGCGTCCGTCCGGACTGGAAGGGGGGGGAAGCGTCCGGACCGGAAGGGGGGGAAAGCGTCCGGACCGGAAGGGGGGGAAAGCGTCCGGACCGGGAGAGGGGGGGGAAAGTGTCTGGACTGGAAGTGGTCAAAGAAAAGAAATAACCTTGGTGATCCTTCTTCAAGCGCTTCCTGTTAGAGGAGGACAATGCTGTGTCCCCATCTCCCAGTTGTGCTCCTGCGTTGTCATCCTGTCACATAAATGGAGACTACAACTGGCCAACTCAACCTACATTTTGCAAGTGAGGTGCACTGTTGTCACCATCAGGAAACCCACCATGAGAAACTGCATGCAGCTATCGCTGGAGTTCATGTAGAGAGGAAGTGGCTGCAAAGAGGCTGCAGAAGATCAGCAGAATGAGATGCAAGAAAGGATATATAAAAGGTAAAAAAAAAAAAAAAATGGGGTAGAAGGTAGAAAATGTTAAGGAGAGATGGAACTTACGTAAGCCACGGGGTCGTTACTACGGGTGGCCACTAAACTCAGCCTCTTGACATGAGTGTTGCCTTTCATAGACTCACAGATATCCTTTAGTGTTGGGATGGGAATGTCCTGCAAGAGACGGTGACAACTGATTTACAATGATTGGTTCTGTCTGAAAAAAGGTCAACCCCCCTCCCCACAACCACAATGATGTCATGACTTTTTTGCACACCAGCAAACCTCATACCTGGGGACACAGGATTTCATATTTCTCCTGACTGAGGGTGGCAGTATAACCCGCATGTCAGACTATCCTAGGAATTCCATATTTCTCCTGAAGGTGGCAGTATAACCCACGTCATAGACTATCCTAGGAATTCCATATTTCTCCTGAAGGTGGCAGTATAACCCACGTCATAGACTATCCTAGGAATTCCATATTTCTCCTGAGGGTGGCAGTATAACCCACATGTCATAGACCATCCTAGGAATTCCATATTCTCCTGAGGGTGGCAGTATAACCCACATGTCATAGACCATCCTAGATATTCCATATTTCTCCTGAGGGTGGCAGTATAACCCGCATGTCAGACTATCCTAGGAATTCCATATTTCTCCTGAAGGTGGCAGTATAACCCGCATGTCATAGACCTATCCTAGGAATTCCATATTTCTGCTGAATTGGCAGTATAACCCGCATGTCATAGACTATCCTAGGAATTCCATATTTCTCCTGAGGGTGGCAGTATAACCCGCATGTCATAGACTATCCTAGGAATTCCATATTTTCTCCTGAGGTGGCAGTATAACCCGCATGTCAGACTATCCTAGGAATTCCATATTTCTCCTGAATGTGGCAGTATAACCCACATGTCATAGACTATCCTAGGAATTCCTTATTTCTCCTGAAGGTGGCAGTATAACCCAGATGTCATAGATTGTCCTAGGAATTCCATATTTCTCCTGTGGGTGGCAATATAACCCACGTCACAGACCATCTTAGGAATTCCCTATTTATCCTGTGGGTGGCAGTATAACCCACGTCATACACTATCCTAGGAATTCCATATTTCTCCTGAGGGTGGCAATATAACCCAGGTCACAGACCATCTTAGGAATTCCCTATTTATCCTGAAGGTGGCAGTATAACCCACATGTCATAGACTATCCTAGGAATTCCATATTTCTCCTGAAGGTGGCAGTATAACCCGCATGTCATAGACTATCCTAGGAATTCCATATTTCTCCTGAAGGTGGCAGTATAACCCGCATGTCAGACTATCCTAGGAATTCCTTATTTCTCCTGAAGGTGGCAGTATAACCCGCATGTCATAGACTATCCTAGGAATTCCATATTTTTCCTGAAGGTGGCAGTATAACCCAGATGTCATAGACTGTACTAGGAATTCCATATTTCTCCTGAAGGGTGGCAGTATAACCCACATGTCATAGACTATCCTAGGAGTTCCATATTTCTCCTGAAGGTGGCAGTATAACCCGCATGTCAGACTATCCTAGGAATTCCATATTTCTCCTGAAGGTGGCAGTATAACCCGCATGTCAGACTATCCTAGGAATTCCATATTTCTCCTTAAGGTGGCAGTATAACCCACATGTCATAGACCATCCTAGGAATTCCATGTTTCTCCTGAGGGTGGCAGTATAACCCACATGTCATAGACTATCCTAGGAATTCCATATTTCTCCTGAGGGTGGCAGTATAACCCACATGTCATAGACCATCCTAGGAATTCCATATTCTCCTGAGGGTGGCAGTATAACCCACATGTCATAGACCATCCTAGGAATTCCATATTTCTCCTGAGGGTGGCAGTATAACCCACATGTCATAGACCATCCTAGATATTCCATATTTCTCCTGAGGGTGGCAGTATAACCCACATGTCAGACTATCCTAGGAATTCCATATTTCTCCTGAAGGTGGCAGTATAACCCGCATGTCATAGACTATCCTAGGAATTCCATATTTCTCCTGAAGGTGGCAGTATAACCCGCATGTCATAGACTATCCTAGGAATTCCATATTTCTCCTGAAGGTGGCAGTATAACCCGCATGTCATAGACTATCCTAGGAATTCTATATTTCTCCTGAAGGTGGCAATACCTTGATGTTATTCAGATTGACTTCCTCCAAGTCAGAGGCGTTGCTCTTGATCTTCTGCAGAGTTTCCTCCACATTGGTTGGGTTGGGTGGCTCATCAGGGACAGGCTTGTATTGGTCTGGCTTTACCACACCTAGAAAAGAAAAAAAAAATAGTTATATCTTCTCCTAGGTACGGAGGTTGTCATGTGGTCATGTAGACCACTTCTTCATTAAAGGTTGCCTAGGTTGGTGTACACATATCCTTCCACTCTTCTATGTAGTCATTGAGGCCAGAAATTTAGGGTAACACGTTGACCTCATCTTGGGTGGTGCCATACCGGTTTTCATCTGGTTTGGTCTGGTTGGTCGTCCTGGACCTTCCAACAACAGGCACACCGAATGAAATGGTTTTGACAAAGGGGCAGCATGGTACTTACTGTTGATGCCCTCCGTATTGGTGATGATTCCAGAAGTAATGGCGTCATAGTATTGCTTATTACTCATCAATGTGTACATCCCCAAGATGGCTGAAAGAGACAAAAAAAAAATCAATATTGGTCAGTTAAGGACGGGAGCTAGAGAAGACGTACTATACTGTGTTCCTGGCTACTAAATATTCCACGCTCAACTGTTAGTGGGATTATAACAAAGTGGAAGCAACTGGGAACAACAGCAACTCAGCCACCAAGTGGTAGGCCACGTCACATGACAGGGCGGGGGGTCAGCACATGCTGAAGCGCACGGTGCACAGAAGTCGCCAACTGTCTGAAGAGTCAATAGCTAAAGACCTTCAAACTTGGTGTGGCCTTCAGATGAGCCCAACAACAGTGCGTAGAGAGCTTCATGGAATGGGTTTCCATGGCTGAGAAGCTGCATCCAAGCCTTCCATCACCAAGTGCAATGCAAAGCGTCGGATGCCGTGGTGTAAAGCACGCCACCACTGGACTCTAGAGCAGAGGAGACATGTTCTCTGGACTGACCAATCACGCTTCTCTGTCTGGTAATCCGATGGACGTGTCTGGGTTTGGCGCTGGCGAGGAGAACGGTACTTGCCTGACTGCATTGTGCCAAGTGTAGAGTTTAGTGGAGGGGGAATTATGGTGTGGTGTTCTTCATGGGTTGGGCTTGGCCCCCTAGTTCCAGTGAAGGGAACTCTAAAGGCGACATTTTGGACAATTTCATGCAGAGTTTGAGGATGGCCCCTACCTGTTCCAACATGACTGCACACCAATGCACAAAGTAAGGTCCATGAAGACATGGAGGAGCCAGTTTGGGGTGGAGGAACTTGACTGTCCTGCACAGAGTCCTGACCTCAACCCCATAGAACACTTTTGGAATGAATTAGAGCGGAGACTGCAAGCCAGGCCTCCTCCCCCCGACATCAGTGCCTGACCTGACAAATGTGCTTCTGGAAGAATGGTCCAACCTTCCCATAGACACCCTCCTAAACCTTGTGGACGGCCTTCCCAGAAGAGTTGAAGCTGTTAAAGCTGCAAAGGGCGGGGCCAACTCAACATTGAACCCTACGGACTAAGACTGGGGGGCCATTAAAGGTCATGTGTGTGGAAAGGCCGGCCAACTCAATATTGAACCCTACAGACTAAGACTGGGAGGCCATTAAAGGTGATGTGTGTGGAAAGGACGGGGCCAACTCAATATTGAACCCTACGGACTAAGACTGGGAGGCCATTAAAGGTCATGTGTGTGGAAAGGGCGGGGCCAACTCAATATTGAACCCTACGGACTGAGACTGGGGGGCCATTAAAGGTCATGTGTGTGGAAAGGCCGGCCGACCAATACTTGGGGCAATATAGTCTATATTCAGGGCTTACACCGTACACACTGCAGTGATCATGCCTGTCCAGTAGGGGTCACAAAGCTTGCACAATAAAATCCTATCTCAGCATGTGGAGGGTAAGGGGATCTGACCCTCTCAGATTCCAAATATAACAGCTGAACGGTCCCTGCGTCTTACAGATCTGCTGAGGGTGTGGGGGGGGGGGGGATTGGACAGACTCGGGTGGGAATAAGGTGTGAAGTCTGTACTGTACTGCGGATCCCCCGGGTGCTGATCGCTTTGCTCCAATGCCGGGGCCTCACTTCCATTTTAAATGGGAGAATACGAAAATAAAATGCAAACGATTTGCTACGTGTTAAAGAGAACCTGTGCTCAAATGTTAACATAAAGCTCTGTTAGAAAAAAAAAAAAAAAAAAAGGTCAAGGCTGTACCATGCCTGGAGAAAATGCTGCTCCAGGCTCCTTTCAGTGTTACTGAAATCTGGGAAGGTCTAGGCACCGAGTCAGATGAGGAGAAGGATCATTACGGCTCGTCCTCCCCTTCCGCATGGGAATAAGTGCTTTTAAATGTGAGCAGCACCCGTGTGAGCTTGGAGCAGCATTTTCTCCAGGAATTTTTTTTTTTTTTTTCAATCTATTTTTTGAAAAAAGCTTCATATTTACAACACTAAGGGCTCGCTGATGGCTTGCACCATCTCAACTCGTTCATTAAAGTATACGTCCAGCCAAATTTAAATAAATCCTGATGGGCACGTTCAATAATTCACACTTGGGGCAACCCGTGCCGCCCCTCTGAAAAGCGATCTACAGTGATTCAGAGGACGGCGAAAAGGAGTCTGGGCGGTGATAGGTTGCCTCTTCACTGCCTGCTTTAACCCTGAAAAGCCCACACCTCTGAGATGCTGCGGTGCAACCACAACATTGTAGCGCAGCCACGACGTCATGGCGCAACAGCAACGTCACGTCGCAACAGCGATGTTGTGGCGCAACCACGACTTCATGGCGCAACTCCATTCAATCGAATAGGTAGCATTGTGTGGCAGTACTGCCCCTCAAACGTACCATGGAGTACCACCCCGTCCACCTGCCGTTGACGCTTAAGTTGGGGGAGGTAAATCTGCAGTTCAACCAGCTATTTATGTTTGAACGAGGGTGAGGCACCCCCACCCCATCTTTACTTGCATCTTCATTCAGAATTTTGTGATCTTCTGAATGTTGCATGGCTCCGCCCACAGAGCTGTGTCAAGTTTGAGAGAATTCCGGTACGTCCCTCCTGCCGCATCGGCGATCGCTCCTCCCTCTTCCCGCTCCGTGGTTTAGGAAGCACTTCCTCCAGAAGGTCTGTAACTGCCTACAGCCCCGAGGCTGGTGTAACGGACTTTATACAGCGCCCGACCGTGGGTGCAATGCTCTGCGGGCAGAAGTGAACAAATGCACATAGATGATGAGATCCTTGTTGCTGCGTTTACTACTTTTTGCGTGGGGTGGAGTGATCCTTTAAATGGCCAGGCCGGCTTGTAGCACTCTAGTAGCGGGGTTTCAGAGGCCCTTTTCTGTCTCTGACATCAGCTTGTTGACTGCCGAGATCTGATATCCTTCTCCCCCGTGCGGGGTCAAGTCTCCGGGAGACGGGCATACCTCCTCCACTTTTTGCACGGGGTGGAGTGATCCTTTAAATTGCCAGGCCGGCTTGTAGCTCTCTAGTAGCGGGGGTGTCAGAGGCCCTTTTCTGTCTCTGTGCCTCATAGTGACGTCAGCTTGTTGACTGCAGAGATCTGATACCCTTCTCCTCCATGCGGGGTCAAGTCTCCGGGAGACGGACATACCTCCTCCACTTTTTGCACGGGGTGGAGTGATCCTTTAAATTGCCAGGCCGGCTTGTAGCTCTCTAGTAGCGGGGTGTCAGAGGCCCTTTTCTGTCTCTGTGCCTCATAGTGACGTCAGCTTGTTGACTGCAGAGATCTGATACCCTTCTCCTCCATGCGGGGTCAAGTCTCCGGGAGACGGACATACCTCCTCCACTTTTTGCACGGGGTGGAGTGATCCTTTAAATTGCCAGGCCGGCTTGTAGCTCTCTAGTAGCGGGGTGTCAGAGGCCCTTTTCTGTCTCTGTGCCTCATAGTGACGTCAGCTTGTTGACTGCAGAGATCTGATACCCTTCTCCTCCGTGCGGGGTCAAGTCTCCGGGAGACGGACATACCTCCTCCACGAAGTCACATCAGACCTTCCAAAACAGATCAGCTCGCCGCTTCGATCGCACTGAGTCACCGCCGCCACCTCGCGCTCTTAAAGGAGATGTCGACCCCAAACTGAATGACATTCAGCATGCCGTGTGCCCCGCACATCCTCAACAGTTGTTGGGTTTTCTCTTCTTTTTCATCCTTCATTCTATCTCAGAGCTGCTGATCTTTTGCTGCCCATCTGCACCCACTTCCTGTCCACGTGCACTCCAGCGGTGGCTGCATGGCATTTCTCAGGGGGCGGCCGACCATCTGCACCCACTGTCCTGTTCCAGCGATGGCGTGCACTCCAGCGATGGCATCTGCATGGCACTTTCTAGGGCGGCAGCAGCTGTTGCATGGAGTCAGGGCGGCACTTTTGGGGGTGGGGGGACCCCTGTCTCGGCTCCTCATGTTCCTCTTATGTGTAAGGCACCCTGTGCCTGTTAGGGTACATGGTGAAATGTTTGTGTATTGGTGTGGGGGTTGTCCATTGTTCACTGTCATGTGGTTGTTCTATTGTGTGTCTTGGTTTGGTGGGGGGTGTTACCAGCAGCCCTTCCCCCTGATGGGACGGCCTGCTGATGTGTTTCCTGTTCCTGGTTGTATTGCCCCGCCCTACGTATATATCTTGTGTTTGTGTTAAAATAAAGCAGTTGACTTCCTGTCTTAAAAGAAGCTGGTGCTGTCTATTTCCTGTATGGTCAGCGGTGGTGTCCGTGGATCTGTGTTCAGACAGGGAAGCGGGAGTCTAACGGAAATACCCTAGCGCAGTCCGGGTCCGGTTCCGTTACACCGCCCATCTGCACCCACTTCCTGTCTACGGGCACTCCAGCGATGACTGCATGGCATTTCTCAGGGCAGCCACCCATATACACCCACTTCCTGTCCACGTGTACTCCAGCGATGGCTGCATGGCCTTTCTCAGCGCGGCCCGCCCATCTGCACCTACTTCCTGTCCACGTGTACTCCAGCGATGGCTGCATGGCCTTTCTCAGCGTGGCCGACCATCTGCACCTACTTCCTGTCCACGTGTACTCCAGCGGTGGCTGCATGGCCTTTCTCAGGGCGGCTTTCCCGATGGTGACAACAGAGGATCATGTCTGTGTAATGTGTGTTGAAATGGTTACTTGTAGTCTCCATCACATGGGCATATTTGCCGCAAGGCAATCAAGGTGTTTGCGTTGGGTGGAATTTCTCGGGGGGGGGGGGGGGGGGGGCCCACATGGAAAGGGACACTGGTTGTGTTGGGGCGGCACAGCCAAGTAAGGGGAGCCGTGGGAGCGGTCGTGAAATTATGGGAAGGAAGCCTCTGTGATGGTGAGTCTCTCTCCGGGGTAAAGGGGGGGGGGGGGGGAGTGGCGCAGGGGCCATGGTATGCGGGGGCCCACATATGTTTTGTGTTGCCTAGGGCAGCACAAATTCTGAATACAGTCCTGGTCTCCATCCATGTGACAGGGTGACAACACAGTACAATTGAGAGACGGGAGAGCGTTGTCACCCTACAACAGGAAGTGCCTGAACTAGGACCCTTATGGTAGGATCACCAAACATTATTTGAATGTGGTTAATGTGTTGACATGCCCACTGCATCTCCATTGGAAGCCCATGTGACACGGTGACAACGCAAGAGCACAATTGGCAAACAGGGACAGAGCGTTGTCACCTTTATAACAGGAATCGCCTGAACAATGAACACACATGGGTTGGACAATACCACACCACACTATATCGTACCATACCACAACATACCACACCACACCGTACCACACCATACCGTACTATACCATACCACACTATATCGTACCATACCACAACATACTACACCACACCATACAATATCGTACCACACCACACCGTACCACACACATACCGTACTATACCATACCACACCACCACCCATACCGTACTATACCACACTATACCATACCACACCGTACCACACCATACCGTACTATACCATACACACCACCACACTATACCATACTTTACTGTACTATACCACACCACACTACACTATACCATACCAACAAACTACACCAACACACACCACACTATACCATACACACACAACACACCAACCCGTACTATACCATACCACACCACACCATACCGTACCATACACACTATACCATAAACACCACACCGTACCACACCATACCACACCACACCACACTATACCATACCACACCACACCATACCATACTTTACTGTACTATACCACACCACACTACACTATACCACACCACACCATACCATACTTTACTGTACTATACCACACCACACTACACTATACCATACCACACCGTACTATACCGTACCACACCACACTGTACTGTACCACACCATACCACACTATACCGTACCACACTATACCATACCACACTATACCATACCAGACTATATCGTACTGTACCATACCATATTGTACCACACCATACCACACTATACTGTACCACACCATACCACACCAAACTATATTGTACCGTACCATACCACACCATATTGTACCACACCATACTATACCGTACCATACCATGCCACACTATACCACACCACACCGTACCACACTATACCATACCGTACCATACCATGCCACACTATACCACACCACACCGTACCACACTATACTGTACCATACCACACCAAACTATATCGTACTGTACCATACCATATTGTACCACACCATACCACACTATACTGTACAACACCAACCACACCATACTATACTGTTCCATACGTACCATACCGTACCGTACTATACTGTTCCATACCGTACCATACCGTACCATACTATACTGTTCCATACCGTACCGTACTATAGACACTCACAACATTTCTTTGTTTCTACATTGTATGGTATTAAGATTTATGAAAACATCCTGTTTGGACCACACCAAACCCAAACCGGACCATACCACAGACACTCACAGTCTTCATATGTTTTTACAGGGTACAGTATATCAAATGATCTAAGTAATTGTCTGGGTTGGGCCGTACCCATCATGCCACACCATGTCATACCAAACCATACCATACCACAGACACTCGCCATATTTATTTTTTTTTTTTTTTTTCACAGTGCACATTATATAGAGATGATCTATGAAAATGCCTGGGTTGGGCCATACCATGTCATACCTTACCACATACACTTATAGCACTGATTTATTTTTATGATGTACTATACATACACGAGGTGGTATCAAAAAGTTTCGAGACTAGTTTTCTAACACGCCAACATATGGCAGCACAAAACTGCACGCACAGTCACAGGGAGCACTGACAGTGTGCCAAAAGACATCGTCCTGTGTACATCGTGAAATGTGCAACTGGTGCTATTCTGACCACGTGCGTTACCACGTCTGCTTTTTCATCATGGACAGCAAGTTAGAACAAACAGCAAATGTGAAATTCTGCGTGAAACAGGGCAAATCTGCCACAGAGATGTTTGACATGATTCAGCAAGTTTACGGCGATGCTGCAATGAGTCGTTCGAGGTGTTTTGAGTGGCACGTGTGCTTCAAGAGAGAAAGAACATCACTGGAAGACGAGATCAGGAAGACCTTTAACAAGCTCAACCCCCGAAAAAGTCAAATATCAAAACCATTCAGCAACTTGATCGTCGGAGAACAATCCACAACATGGCTGCCATTGTTGGTGTGTCCTACGGAACAGTCCAGGCAATCCTCACATGTGATCTGAACATACGCCATGTTGCTGCCAAGTTCGTCTCCAATGATCTCACTTCTACACCCCACGAGGTTTGGCTTCTGCGGACTTCACCCTCTTCCCAAAGATGAAGATCCAGCTCTAAAAGGTCGCCATTTTGACAACAATGCGGAGATCCAGAGCCAAAGAAGCTTGACACGCTTTGAAAAGAAGACTTCCGGGACACATTCCGGAAGTGGCGGGAACGCTGTATTGCTGTGCAAGGGGGCTATTCTGAAGGTGATAGTGTGTAAACCTAGATAAATAAAGTACTCGCTTGTAAACAGAACAAGGTTCAAAACTTTTTCATACCACCTTGTAGAGATGATCTTTGAAAATGTCTGGGTTGGACCGTACCATACCCACTCACAGCATTCATTTGTTTTTACAAAGTACAGTATATAGAGATGATCTATGAACACACTCAGGTTGGACCATACCATACCATACCATACCATACCATAGACACTCACAACATTCGTTTGTTTTTTTTTCAAGGTTCAATATATAGAGAAGATCAATGAAAACACTCAGGTTGTACCATACCATACCTTACCCACTCACAGCATTCATTTGTTTTTACAAAGTACAGTATATAGAGATCTATGAACACACTCAGGTTGGACCATACCATACCATAGACACAACATTTGTTTTTTTTCAAGGTTCAATATATAGAGAAGATCAATGAACACACTCAGGTTGGACCATACCATACCATACCCACTCACAGCATTCATTTGTTTTTACAAAGTACAGTATATAAAGATGATCTATGAACACACTCAGGTTGGACCATACCATACCATAGACACTCACAACATTTTTTTTTTTTTTTTTTCAAGGTTCAATATATAGAGAGGATCAATGAAAACATTCAGGTTGGACCATACCATACCATGGTCACTCACAGCATTCATTTGTTTTTTACAAAGTACAGTATATAGAGATGATCTATGAACACACTCGGGTTGGACCATACCATACCATAGACACTCCAAGCATTCATTTGTTTTGGTTTTTTTTCAAGGTGCAATATATAGAGAAGATCTATGAACACACCCAGGTTGGACCGTACTGTACCATACCATAACATAGACACTCACAGTCTTCATTTGTTTTTACAAAGTACAGTATATAGAGATGATTTCTGAAAACGTCTGGTTTGGACCATACCATATGATAGACCCTCACAACATCTGTTTTTTTTTTACCAAGGTACACTATATAGAGATGAACTATGAAGACACCTGGGTTGGACCGTATCATACTACACCATAAATCACAGCATTCATTTGTTTTTACAAGGTACAGTATATAGTGAGGATCTATGAACACACCCCGGTTGGACCATACCACACAAACCACCCACAGTATTCATTAGTTTTTACAATGTACAGTATGTAGAGAGGATCTATGAAAATGTCTGGGTTGGACCATACCATACCACAAACCACTATCACAGTATTCATCATTTGTGTTTAGAAGGTACAGTATATAGAGAGGATCTATGAACACACCAGGGTTGGACCATACCATACCACAAACCACTCACAGTATTCATTAGTTTTTACAATGTACAGTATATAGAGAGGATCTATGAACACACCCCGGTTGGACCATACCAAACCACAAACCACCCACAGTATTCATTAGTTTTTACAATGTACAGTATATAGAGAGGATCTATGAAAATGTCTGGGTTGGACCATACCATACCACAAACCACCCACAGTATTCATTAGTTTTTACAATGTACAGTATATAGAGAGGATCTATGAACACACCCCGGTTGGACCATACCATACCACAAACCACTCACAGTATTCATTAGTTTTTACAATGTACAGTATATAGAGAGGATCTATGAAACACCAGGGTTGGACCATACCATACCACAAACCACCCACAGTATTCATTAGTTTTTACAATGTACAGTATAAGAGAGGATCTATGAACACACCCCGGTTGGACCATACCATACCACAAACCACTCACAGTATTCATTAGTTTTTACAATGTACAGTATATAGAGAGGATCTATGAACACACCAGGGTTGGACCATACCATACTACAAACCACTCACAGTATTCATTAGTTTTTACAATGTACAGTATATAGAGAGGATCTATGGACACACCGGAGTTGGACCATACCTGCGATATCGCACATCTCGGCGTCGGTTGCGTTGGCCAGGGCTTCCTCCAGCTCCGGCTCCAGTGTGATCTGCTCCTCTTTAGGGATCTCACGTTTCGGGTTTTTGGGGATGAACGGCTTTCCTGCAGAGGAGGGATAATGATTTGTAACACTTCCTTGTCACTTGCAGAGCCAAAGCGTCAGAGTACATGAAGAGTAGTAAGCAAGATGTCACTTCTGACATCATTGCTTACTACGTGTGAAATCTGTGAATGATCACAGAGATCACATGGTACAGGGCCATTCATAACAGCCTTCTACCATGTGACAAGGTGTGACCAATCACAGCTCTCACAGTATTTCTCAATGGTTGCAGGAATGCAGCCAGAGGGAAGGAGAAATGATTGATTTTACAGCCTTTATGGGTGTAAAAGCAATCAGTGTAAAAAAAAAAAAAAAATCTTTATCACCCCCCACAAGTAGTACAGTGTCACCATGGTGACACTGCACTGCTAGGGTGACGTATGTTATGTAAAAAAAAAAAAAAAAAATATATAATAATAAAAAATAAAGAAAAATGTAAAAAAAAATGTTTTGAAAAATTATAATTTTTGGTTATAAATTAATTTATTTTTTTTTTTTTACTAAAAAGATAGCTGAATACATTTTGGCCAAGATTTACGAAGAAAGATTATTTATTTGCAAAATTTTATAAGAAATCCTTTTTTTTCAAAATTTTTGGACTTTTTCATTTATATAGCAAAAAAAAAAACATAAATCCCAGCGGAGAATAAATACCACCAAAATAAAGTTTTATCTGTCTCAAAAAAATGCTAAAAAAATTTCATATGGGTGCAGTGTTGCATGACCGCGCAATTGCCATTCAAAGTGTGATAGTGCTGAAAGCTGAAAATTGGCCTGGACAGGAAGGGGGTGAAAGTGTCCAGACAGGAAGTGGTTAAAATGTAGCGTCAGGAGCGTTGTCACCCTGTAACAGGAAGTGCCTAAAAAAAGACCTTCATGGCATGTCACCAGACATTTTTTTTTTTATTGTGTTGAAATGGTCACCATTGAAAGGCAGGGTGACAACACAGGAGCACAGTTGGGAGACAGGGACAGAGCGTTGTCACCCTATAACAGGAAGTGGCTGAGCAAGGACCCTCATGGCAGGATCACCGGGGATTATGTTAATAAATCTGAAAATATTGAAAAAATGACTTTTGAAATGGCAAATTAAGTTTGAGTGACTGAGTCAGGCATGTCCCAAGACACTCAGCAGGGGACAATGTTTTTTCTTAAAGGGAAACTGAATCCAAGAACAAAAATGTAATATATAGCGGCAGATTTACTATTTTACTGCCATAAAATTATTGAAAATAAAAATAGTCTGGCGATATTCTAAAATATATAAAATTAAAAAAAATAAAATAAATAAAAAAATGAATAAAAAAATGAATAAATAAATATATATATATATATATATATATAGATATATATATATATATTTTTTTTTTTTTTTTTTTAATTCATTTTTTTATTTATTTTATTTTATATTTTGTTTTATATTTTTTATATTCTAAAATATATAAAATTAAAAAAAAATAAAATAAATAAAAAAATGAATAAAAAAAAATAAATAAAAAATATATATATATAGATATATATATAGATATAGATATATATATATATATATTTTTTTTTTTTTTTTTTTATTCATTTTTTTTTATTTTTTTATTTTATATTTTTACTTTATATTTTTTATATTCTAAAATATATAAAATTAAAAAAAATAAAATAAAAAAAAATGAAAAAAAAAAAAAATAAATAAAATAATAAATATATATATAATAATATAATATAGATAATATATATATAATATATATATATATATATATATATTTTTTTTTTTTTAATTCATTTTTTTTTTTTTAATTTTAATTTTTTTTTTATTTATTTTATTTTATATATTTTTATATTCTAAAAATATATAAAAAAAAAAAAATAAAATAAATAAAAAAATGAATAAAAAAATGAATAAATAAATATATAATATATATATATATATATAAGATATATATATATATTTATATATAATATATATTTTTTTTTTTTTTTTTTTAATTCATTTTTTTTTTTTAATTCATTTTTTTATTTATTTTATTTTATATTTTTTTATATTCTAAAATATATAAAATTAAAAAAAATAAAATAAATAAAAAAATGAATAAAAATTATATATATATATATATATATTTTATTTTTATTTATTTTTTTTAATTCATTTTTTTATTTTTTTAAATTTTTTTTAATTTTATATATTTTAGAATATCGCCAGACTATTTTTATTTTCAATAATTTATGGCAGTAAAATAGTAAATCTGCCGCTCAGCAGTACAGGAGAACCAGCCAGATGGTTTGGAAGGGGAGAATATAGCCTGCAGCTGCCGACGTCCGTCACTGTGAGGGGCGGTGGGGGAGGAAAGTTAAAGAGAACGCAACAGGATTTCTTTTATAACTTTCATGACGGAGTATATTACTGGACTGTAGAAAAAAAAAAAAAAAAAGGGGGAATGTGTGTTTTTACATATTTATGGGACAGGCAGAATTTTCATTTAAAAGAAATGACTCAATAAAGAGTGTATTTTAAAAAATTCCAATTTTTTTATCAAATTTTTTTAAAAAATGCAACATTCTGCAAAAAAAAAAAACTCTCAGATACGAAGGTAAATTTCTACATAAAAAAAAAAAAAAAGGGGAATAGGGGAATGTGCGTTTTTTTACATATTTATGGGACAGGCAGAATTTTCATTTAAAAAAAATTTGATTAAAAAAATTGGAATTTTTACAATCTTTATCGAGTCGATAAAGATTGTAGTTGAAAATTCCAATTTTTTTAATCAAATTTTTTTAAAAATGCGACATTCTAAAAAAAAAAAAAAATGCTCTCAGATACGAAGGTAAATTTCTACATAAAAAAAAAAAAAAAGGGGAATAGGGGAATGTGCATTTTTACATATTTATGGGACAGGCAGAATTTTCATTTAAAGAAATTACTTGATAAAGATTGTATTTGAAAATTCCAATTTTTTTAATCAAATTTTTTTTTTTTTTAAAAAATGCGACATACTAAAAAAAAAAAATACTCTCAGATTTGAAGGTAAATTTCTACATAAAAAAAAAAAAAAAAAATGGGGAATAGGGGAATGTGCGTTTTTACATATTTATGGGACAGGCAGAATTTTCATTTAAAAGAAATTACTTGATAAAGATTGTATTTGAAAATTCCAATTTTTTTAATCAAATTTTTTTTTTAAAAAAATGCGACATACTAAAAAAAAAAATACTCTCAGATTTGAAGGTAAATTTCTACATAAAAAAAAAAAAAAAATGGGGAATAGGGGAATGTGCGTTTTTACATATTTATGGGACAGGCAGAATTTTCATTTTAAAAGAAATTACTTGATAAAGATTGTATTTGAAAATTCCAATTTTTTTTATCAAATTTTTTTTTAAAAATGCGACATTCTAGAAAAAAAAAAAAATACTCCCAGTTACGAAGGTAAATTTTCTACATAAAAAAAAAAAAAGGGGAATGTGCATTTTTATAATATATTTATGGGGCAGGCAGAATTTTCATTTTAAAAGAAATGACTCAAAGAGTGTGTATTTTAAAATTCCAATTTTTTAATCAAATTTTGTAAAAAAAATGCGACATTCTATAAAAAAAAAAAAAATACTCCAAGATAAGAAGGTAAATTTCTACATTAAAAAAAAAAAAAAAAAGGAGGTGTGGCAGCAAGAGCTCTGCGATAAGCCAACTGACATTCTTGCTGAATTATTCTAGTCCCTTAGACTTTGCACACCTGGAATGCATTAGGAGGGTTTTAAAGTGAACCTTCAATTGGGCTTTAAATATAGAAGATCTCTACTGGCAGCGCTCTGCTCTTCTATCGATCGTTCTGCAACGAAGGAAGGTTCGCTCTCGCTCGTTCCTGCAGACCCGTCCTGTACGTTACCTTTCTTTTCTCCTGTAAACGGCACGAGATCTTCCCTCTCCTTGGCGTTGATGGCCTCCTGCTCCAGGTGCTGCAAGAGGGCGTCTCGATCCAGCGGTCCGGTGGGGGACTTCTTCGTTTGGTCTCTCTGACGCATTCCTGCCGGGAGCATGATGTTCTGAAAAAAATGGCAGTTAGGATGTGAGTGTAAAGAGACAGTTGGGATGTGAGGAAAAAAAATGGCAGTTGGGATGTGAGTGTAAAGAGACAGCTGGGATGTGAGTAAAAAAAATGGCAGTTGGGATGTGAGTGTAAAGAGACAGTTGGGATGTGAGTAAAAAAAATGGCAGTTGGGATGTGAGTGTAAAGAGACAGTTGGGATGTGAATGTAAAGAGACAGTTGGGATGTGAGTAAAAAAAATGGCAGTTGGGATGTGAGTGTAAAGAGACAGTTGGGATGTGAGTAAAAAAAATGGCAGTTGGGATGTGAGTGTAAAGAGACAGTTGGGATGTGAGTAAAAAAATGGAAGTTGGGATGTGAGTGCAAAGAGACAGTTGGGATGTGAGTAAAAAAAAAAATGGCAGTTGGGATGTGAGTGTAAAGAGATAGTTGGGATGTGAAGAAAAAATGCCAGTTGGGATGTGAGTGTAAAGAGACAGTTGGGATGTGAGTAAAAAAATGGCAGTTGGGATGTGAGTGAAAAATATCAGTTGGGATGTGAGGAAAAATGGCAGTTGGGATGTGAGTGTAAAGAGACAGTTGGGATGTAAGTAAAAAAAAAAATATAGTTGGAATGTGAGTGAAAAATATCATTTGAGATGCGAGGAAAAATGGCAGTTTAAATGTGAGTAAAAAAAAAAAAAAGACAGTTGGGATGCGAGTGAAAAATGGCAATTGGGATCAGCTGTGAACTGGCTATATACATTACAATCCAAATATCAATTCAGAAGTGATCATATACTTTGTCATGTAACTGTACAATCTGCTTCAGATCTACCAACAAAAATGGCAGTTGGAATGTGAGTGAAAAATGGCAGTTGGGATGCAAGTTTAAAAAAAAAAATGATAGTTGGAATGCGAGTGAAAAAATATCAGTTGGGATGTGAGTGAAAAATATCAGTTGGGATGTGAGTAAAAATGGTAATTCAAATGTGAGTAAAAAATGGCAGTTGGATGACACTTTTCACCATAGTTTTTATTTAAAGGCTAACTCCACAAAAAAAAAAAAAAATCGATATTTGACTGTTGGGTAAGTCTCGGCGTGGTCGGATGACCTATCTATCAGACTCGTTTAAAAATTTCCCACGGTATTGTATCTCCGCCCCTCCCTGCGATGATCTGGATGACACCGCATTATAGGGATTCCATGGGGGTAGAGTGAAACCGCCGTTTGTTCTCGCAGGGGCTGCGGCAGCCTGGAGGTACGGAACGTTCCGGCAGGGACATCGCTCCAGTTCCGAGTAGGCCTCAGATTGGTAGGTGATTTAGTTGGCAAAAAAAACACACTGAAATATCAAATTTGGATGGAGCTGACCTTAAAAGAGACTCCATTCACCGAGCCGAGAACACGGCCGGACCTTTCACCGGGAAAGGAAATAAAAAGTAATTCTTTAAAACAAAACTGTCCAGAATACCCACATGGAAGAAAAATATATTTTAAATATATTTTAAAAATATTCTTCCCAAATATATTGACATATATTTGAAATGCTACAATTTTGGCCGTATTCAATATATTTCAATAAATAAAAAAAAAATATATATATATATATACACACACACTTATACTGCATTTTGAATTTATTTTTTTTTTTAAATATATTTTTTTTAAATATAATCTTCAGATTTTTTTAACATAAAAAAAAAGAAAATTTTAGCATATATTTTTACATATATTTGTAAATGCATTATATTTATATATATATACACACACTTATACTGCATTTTGAAATGCTTTTTTATTACAAAATATATGAAAAATATTTTAAAAATACATTTCAAATATACTGTATGTCTTTAAAAATACATTGAATCTACATTTTTGGAAGAATATATTAAAAAAAAAAAATATTTTTAAAAATAGATTTTTTTTTCTTATATATTTTTCAGATTTTTTTTAACAAAAGAATATATTAAACATTTTTTTCAAATATATTTTCTTTAGATATGATCTTCAGATTTTTTTTAACATAAAAAAGGCATTTTAGGATCTATTTTTACAGATATTTGTAAATGCATTCCAAAAATTTAGATCTGTATTTTTAAAGACATACAGTATATTCGAAATGCGTCTTTAAAAATACAGATCTACATTTTTGGAATGCATTTACAAATATCTGTAAAAATAGATCCTAAAATGCCTTTTGTATGTTAAAAAAAAATCTGAAGATTATATTTAAAGAAAATATATTTAAAAAAAAATGTTTAATATATTCTTTTGTTAAAAGAAATCTGAAAAATATATAAAAAAAAAAATGTTACAATGACTTTTTTATATGTTAAAAAAAAAAAATGACGAATATATTTAACATTTTTTATAAATTTATGTTTTTTTTAAATATAACCTTCAGATTTTTTTTAACATATAAAAATAGGCATTTTAGCATATATATTTACATATATTTGTAAATGCATTCTGAAAATGTAGATCTGTATTTTTAAAGACATATGTAAAAAATATATGTTAAAATTACTTTTTTTTAAGTTATATGTTAAAAAAAATCTGAAGAATGTATTAAAAAATATATATATATATTTAAAAATATGTTTTTTTCAACATACTCTTCAGATTTTTTTTAACATATAAAAAAGTCATTTTAGCATATATTTTTACATATATTTGTAAATGCATTCCAAAAATGTTGATCTGTAATTTTAAAGACATACGGTATATTTGAAATTTATTTTTAAAAGTATTTTTCATATATCTTGTAATAAAAATGCATTTCAACATGTAAATATATATATATACACACTGTGTGCTGAAATGCGTTTTTACTACAAAATATATGAAAATTATTTTTAAAAATACAGATCTACATTTTTGGAATGCATTTACAAATATATATGTTAAATGACTTTTTGCTATGTTAAAAGAAAAAAAAATCTGAAGATTGTATTTAAAAAAAAAAATATTTTTAAAAATGTATTTTTAAAAATATTTTTCATATATTTTGTAATAAAAATGCATTTCAACATGCAATATATATATATATATATATATATATATTTTTTTATTATTTTTTTTTTTATTTTATTTTTTTTAAATATATTCCATACGGCCAAAATTGTAGCATTTCAAATATATGGCAATAAATTTGGGAAGAATATTTTTAAAATATATTTCAAATATATTTTTCTTCCATGTGGGTTTGGAGAGAAAATCCAGGCAACAGGTCCAGGTATCTGCACCATTTACCTTTATTGAGGATATGATTGTCTCTTATGGACACATTCAGAAGGCTTTTCGCGGTGCTTTTCTTAGGGTCTGCAGACGATTTTTTGTCACAGAGGGCCGGGCACAGGGCCAGGGGGGACAATCTGCCTGAATTTCACGGTCATATAGAACATATGGAGAATATCTAAAGGACAAAAGTGCCATAAAATGTGAATGAGTTCAGTAAAAGATTTTTTTTTCACATACCAAGAGGTGAGAGGATGAAGCCAACACGTTTAGGTGGCGGAGAACTCCCCCTTCATCAGGACCTGGATGTTGGTGGTGATACAGAATAATACCGACCCCCAACTGCACAATAGAAGGATATGATGGACTGGTGACCCCGAATCTCCATCCCCCCATCCTTCTATCAGGCATCTATAGTCCAGATGTATTCTGAATTGCTGCCAGTGTTCAGGCCCTGATGAGGGGGGAGTTATGAACCCCCGAAATGTGTTGGACTTATCTCCTGATGAGGGGGGAGTTATGAACCCAGAAAACATGTTGGCTTTACCTACTGATAAAGGGGTATTTGTGAGGCCCCCAAAATGTGTTGGATTTTTCTACTGATGAAGGGGAAGTTATGATCCCAAAACATGTTGGTTTTACCTACTAATGAAGGGGGAGTTATGACCCCCTGAAATGTTTTGGCTTTACCTCTGATGAAGGGGAAGTTATGCCCCCCAAAAACGTGTTGTTTTACTTGCTGATGAGGGGGTTTTCTGAGCCCCAAAATATGTTGGACTTGTCTGATGATGGGGGAGTTATGACCCCCGGAAACATGTTGGTTTTACCAATTCAAGAAGGGGGAGTTATGACCTCAAAAATGTGTTGGTTTTATTTACTGATGAAGGGGGAGTTATGAGCCCCCAAAACATATTGTCTTTACCTACTGATGAAGGGGGAGTTATGAACCCCGAAATGAGTTGTCTTTACCGTCTGATAAAGGGGTATTTGTGAGCCCTCAAAATGTGTTGGATTTTTGAATTGATGACGGGGGTTATGAGCCACAAAACATGTTGGCCTTACCTACTAATGAAGGGGAAGTTATGACCCCACAAAATGTTTTGGCTTTACTTCTGATGAAGGGGAAGTTATGCCCCCCAAAAATGTGTTGGTTTTGCTTACTGATAAAGGGGTATTTGTGAGCCCCCCAAAATTTGTTGTATTTTTCTACTGATGAAAGGGGAGTTATGATCCCCGAAAAAACATGTTGGCTTTACCTACTGATAAAGGGGTTTTTGTGAGCCCCTAAAATATGCTGGATTTGTCTACTGAGGGGGGGTAATGACCCCCAAAACATGTTGGTTTTACCTATTCAAGAAGGGGGAGTTATGATCTCAAAAATGTGTTGGTTTTACTTACTGATGAGGGGGGGAGTTATGAACTCCAAAATATGTTGTCTTTACCGTCTGATAAAGGGGTATTTGTGAGCCCTCAAAATGTGTTGGATTTTTGAACTGATGAGGGGAGTTATGAGCCCCAAAACATGTGGGTTTTATCTATTCATGAAGGGGGAGTTTTGACCCCCCGAAACATGTTGGTTTTACTTACTGATGAGGGGGGAGTTATGATCCCCCGAAACATGTTGTCTTTTCCTCCTGATGAAGGGGGCATTATGATCCCAGAAAAAATGTTGGCTTTACCTACTGATAAAGGGGTATTTGTGAGACCCCAAAATGTGTTGGACTTTTCTACTGAAGAAGTAGAAGTTATGATCCCTGGTTTTACCTACTGATGAAGGAGGCATTATGAGCCCCTGAAACGTGTTGGCTCACCTAATGATAAAGGGGTTTTTGTGAGCCCTCAAGATATGTTGGATTTGTCTACTAATGAAGGAGGAGTTATGAGCCCCCGAAACATGTTGGCCTTACCTCCTGATAAAGGGGGATCTGTAAGCTCCGAAGTGGGAGTTATCACCCCCCAAAACGTGTTGAATTTATTCTCTGACTTCTTGCCATAACAAATAATTTTGTTATTTCTTGGACTGAATCTCAGAGAGCTTCCTCTAAAAGTTGGATCCTCAGTGTGATTTTCGTCTACTTTGGGGTCCGGCACCCCCTAATAGGAATAGGAGGGAACGGACAATCCAAAATTAAAGGTTCAACAGGCAGATCGTGTTCTACAATTCAGTCTGATGAAGGGCGAGTTATGACCCCCGAAACCTTCAAGTTGGATTGCACTATGCATCTAATTTCATGTAATTTTAATTTTAGGTAGCCGAGTCATCTGGTGGCACCTTGTGTCTGGTGGCACCTCGTATCTCAGACCCTTGTGTCTGGTGGCACCTCGTATCTCAGACCCTTGTGTCTGGTGGCACCTCGTATCTCAGACCCTTGTGTCTGGTGGCACCTCGTATCTCAGACGCTTGTGTCAGGTGGCACCTTGTATCTCAGACCCTTGTGTCAGGTGGCACCTCTGTATCTCAGACGCTTGTGTCTGGTGGCACCTTGTATCTCAGACCCTTGTGTCTGGTGGCACCTCGTATCTCAGACGCTTGTGTCAGGTGGCACCTCGTATCTCAGACGCTTGTGTCAGGTGGCACCTTGTATCTCAGACGCTTGTGTCTGGTGGCACCTTCGTATCTCAGACGTTTGTGTCTGGTGGCACCTTTGTATCTCAGACGCTTGTGTCTGGTGGCACCTCGTATCTCAGACACTTGTGTCGGGTGGCACCTCGTATCTCAGACACTTGTGTCTGGTGGCACCTCGTATCTCAGACACGTGTTTGGTGGCACCTCGTATCTCAGACACTTGTGTCTGGTGGCACCTCGTATCTCAGACACTTGTGTCTGGTGGCACCTGAGGTCGGAGTTTGAGCCACTTGTGACACCAGCCTGTGAGTCACCTGATCTGCTTCAGGTAGACGGAAAGGTCTGTAAAAAGTTGTCATCCTTTTCATCATTGCTGCACCATACATGGGAGCTCCTCACCCTCGGGGTCCATCTCCTGCAGCTCTAGGTCCAGCTGGGCCAGGTCCTCCGCGGACATCCCTCGTAGGATCTCATCCTCGTCTATGTCCCGGTACTTCTCCAGCTCCTTCTGGTAAGACATGGTGATGGTGGGGGAGGTAGGAGCACGGCTCAGCCCCTTCTGGAGGAGAGAAATACAATGAATAAACTGGACAGAGGGAAGAGGAACATCACATCCTGAGACCGATATGACCATTCATGGTCCAAGAGGAGGAGGTCAGTCATCACTTTATATTTAGAGCCTTTGACAAGTACATTGTAAATAATCACCTTTGTAGAGTCAAGGATGTCGGAATACAAATACACTGACACTCCCAGAACAATGACAACCTGACACTTGGGGTCCCAGAACAATGACACCCTGACACTTGGGGTCCCAGAACAATGACACCCTGACACTTGGGGGTCCAGGACAATGACACCCTGACACTTGGGGGTCCAGGACAATGACACCCTGACACTTGGGGGTTCCAGAACAATGACATCCTGACACTTGGGATCCCAGAAACAATGACTTGCTGACACTTGGGGGTCTCAGAACAATGACACCCTGACACTAGGGGGGCCCAGAACAATGACACCCTGACACTAGGGGGGCCCAGAACAATGACACCCTGACACTTGGGGTCCCAGAACATGGACACCCTGACATTTGAGGTCCCAGAACAATGACACCCTGACACTTGGGGGTCCAGAACAATGACACCCTGACACTTAGGGGTCCCAGAACAATGACACCCTGACACTTGAGGGTCCCAGAACAATGACACCCTGACACTTGGGGCTCCAGAAACAATGACACACTGACAATTGGGGGTCCAGAACAATGACACCCTGACACTTGGGGGTCCAGAAATATGACACCCTGACACTTGGGGGTCCAGAACAATGACACCCTGACACTTGGGGGTCCCAGAACAATGACACCCTGACACTTGGGGGGTCCCAGAACAATCACACCGATACTTGGGGGTCCCAGAACTATCATACCCTGACACTTGGGGGTCCCAGAACAATGACACCTGACACTTGGGGGTCCCGGAACAATGACACTTGGGGTCCCGGAACAATGAAACCCTGACACTTGGGGGTCCAGAACAATAACACCCTGACACTTGGGGGTCCCAGAACAATGACACCCTGACACTTGGGGGTCCCAGAACAATAGCACCCTGACACTTGGTGGTCCCAGAACAATAAACACCCTGACACTTGGGGGTCCAGAACAATGACACCCTGACACTTGGGGGTCCCCGAACAATCACACCCTGATACTTGGGGGTCCCAGAACAATCATACCCTGACACTGGGGGGGTCCCAGAACAATGACACCCTGACACTTGGGAGTCACAGAACAACGACACCCTGACACTTGGTGGTTCAGCACAATGACACCCTGACACTTGGGGGTCCCAGAACAATGACACCCTGACACTTGGGGATCACAGAGAATGACACCCTGACACTTGGGGGGTCCCAGAACAATGACACCCTGACACTGGGGGGTCCCAGAACAATGACACCCTGACACTTGGGGGTTCAGCACAATGACACCCTGACACTGGGGGCCCCAGAACACTGACACCCTGACACTTGGGGAACATTCAGTATTACATTTAGCAGAAGGGGATATTCTAGGTTCGGTCTCTGCAGACGAATCTACTATGAAGATCAGTGTGATACGGATGGAAGGTTGTTGGTTGGGATCCTCCGGCTCTTATCACCTTGTGACACATTCATAACTGACACCGACAGCCGGCACCCCACCCCTTCACTGCCACACCGCACACACCTGAGCACACACTTCCCATCATTGGTGTCAGTGGGAGGAGCACCCTCCCCATCAGTGGGAGGATAGTGCCCCATCATTGGTATCCTTCTCATGGTGTCAGGGAGGAATAGTGCCCCATCATTCAGTGGGAGGTGTCAGTCATTGGGAGGAATAGTGCCCCATCATTGGTATCAGTGGGAGGAATAGTGCCCCATCATTGGTATCAGTGGGAGGAATAGTGCCCCATCATTGGTATCAGTGGGAGGAATATAGAATAGTGCCCCATCCAGTGGGAAGAATATGCCCTATCATTGGTATTTGGGAGGAATAGTGCCCATCCATCATTGGTGTCAGTGGGAGGAATAGTGCCCCATCATTGGTAAGTGGGAGAATAGTGTCCCATCATTGGTGTCAGTGGGGGATAGTGTCCCATCATTGGTGTCATAGTGCCCCATCATTGGTATCAGTGGGAGGAATAGTGTCCCCATCATTGGTGTCAGTGGGAGGAATAGTGCCCCATCATTGGTATCAGTGGGAGGAATAGTGTCCCATCATTGGTGTCAGTCAGTGGGAGGAATAGTGCCCCATCATTGGTGTCAGTGGGAGGAATAGTGCCCCATCATTGGTGTCAGTGGGAGGAATAGTGCCCCCATCATTGGTATCATAGAATAGTGTCCCATCATTGGTGTCAGTGGGAGGAATAGTGCCCCATCATTGGTATTAATGGGAGGAATAGTGCCCCATCATTGGGGGGGGGGAATGTCATTGGTGTCAGTGGGAGGAATAGTGCCCCATCATTGGTATCAGTGGGAGGAATAGTGTCCCATCATTGGTGTCAGTGGGAGGAATAGTGTCCCATCATTGGTGTCAGTGGGAGGAATAGTGCCCCATCATTGGTAGGTCAGTGGGAGGCCCATCAATCAGTAGAATAGTGCCCATCATTGGTATCAGTGGGAGGAATAGTGTCCCCATCATTGGTATCATTGGGAGGAATAGTGCCCCATCATTGGTATCAGTGGGAGAATAGTGCCCCATCATAGTGAATAGTGCCCCATCATTGGTATCAGTGGGAGGAATAGTGCCCCATCATTGGTGTCAGTGGGAGGAATAGTGCCCCATCATTGGTGTCAGTGGGAGGAATAGTGCCCCATCATTGGTATCAGTGGGAGGAATAGTGTCCCATCATCAGTGGGAGGAATAGTGCCCCATCATTGGTCAGTGGGAGGAATAGTGTCCCATCATTGGTATCAGTGGGAGGAATATTGCCCCATCATTGGTATCAGTGGGAGAATAGTGAATTAGTGTGCCCCATCATTGGTGTCATTGGGAGGAATAGTGCCCCATCATTGGTGTCAGTGGGAGGAATAGTGCCCCATCATTGGTGTCCCCATCATTGGTATTAATGGGAGGTAGTGCCCCATCATTGGTGTCAGTGGGAGGAATAGTGCCCCATCATTGGTATCAGTGGGAAGAATAGTGCCCCATCATTGGTGTCAGTGGGAGGAATAGTGCCCCATCATTGGTATCAATGGGAGGAATAGTGCCCCATAGTGCCCCATTGGTGTCAGTGGGAGGAATAGTGCCCCATCATTGGTGTCAGTGGAGGAATAGTGCCCCATCATTGGTGTCAGTGGGAGGAATAGTGCCCCATCATTGGTATTATCATGGGAGGAATAGTGCCCATCATTGGGAGGAATAGTGCCCCATCATTGGTGGGAGGAATAGTGCCCCATCATTGGTGTCAGTGGGAGGAATAGTGAATAGTGCCCCATCATTGGTATCAGTCAGTGGGAGGAATAGTGCCCCATCATTGGTGTCAGTGGGAGGAATAGTGCCCCATCATTGGTGTCAGTGGGAGGAATAGTGCCCCCATCATTGGTGCCCCATCATTGGTGGGAGGAATAGTGCCCCATCATTGGTGTCAGTGGGAGGAATAGTGCCCCATCATTGGTATCAGTGGGAGGAATAGTGCCCCATCATTGGTATCAGTGGGAGGAATAGTGCCCCAATGGGAGGAATAGTGCCCCATCATTGGTGTCAGTAGTGGAGAGAATAGTGCCCCATCATTGGTGTCAGTGGGAGGAGGAATAGTGCCCCATCATTGGTGTCAGTGGGAGGAATAGGCCCCATCATTGGTGTCAGTGGGAGGAATAGTGCCCCATCATTGGTATCAGTGGGAGGAATAGTGCCCCATCATTGGTGTCAGTGCCCCATCATTGGAGTGGGAATAGTGCCCCATCATTGGTGCCCCATCAGTATTAATGGGAGGAATAGTGCCCCATCATTGGTAGTCATCATGGTGTCAGGGAGGAATAGTGCCCCATCATTGGTGTCAGTGGGAGGAATAGTGCCCCATCATTGGTGTCAGTGGGGGAATAGTGCCCCATCATTGGAATAGGAATAGTGCCCCATCATTGGTGTCAGTGGGAGGAATAGTGCCCCATCCATGGGAAGGAATAGTGGTGTCAGTGGGAGGAATAGTGCCCCATCATTGGTGTCAGTGGGAGGAATAGTGCCCCATCATTGGTGTAGTTAGTGGGAGGAATAGTGCCCCATCATTGGTGTCAGTGGGAGGAATAGTGCCCATCATTGGGTCAGTGGGGGAATAGTGCCCCATCATGGTGGTGTCAGTGGGAGGAATAGTGCCCCATCATTAATGGGTGTCCCATCATTGGTGGGAGGAATAGTGTCCCATCATTGGTGTCAGTAGTGCCCCATCATTGGGGAGGAATAGTGCCCCATCATTGGTGTCAGTGGGAGGAATAGTGCCCCATCATTGGTGTCAGTGGGAGGAATAGTGCCCCATCATTGGGAGGAATAGTGTCAGTGGGAGGAATAGTGCCCCATCATTGGTGTCAGTGGGAGGAATAGTGCCCCATCATTGGTATCAGGGAGGAATAGTGCCCCATCATTGGTGTCAGTGGGAGGAATAGTGCCCCATCATTGGTATCAGTGGGAGGAATAGTGCCCCATCATCAGTTGGTGTCAGTGGGAGGAATAGTGCCCCATCATTGGTGTCAGTGGGAGGAATAGTGCCCCATCATTGGTGTCAGTGGGAGTGGTGTCATAGTGTCCCATCATTGGTGTCAGTGGGAGGAATAGTGCCCCATCATTGGTATCAGTGGGAGGAATAGTGCCCCATCATTGGTGTCAGTGGGAGGAATAGTGCCCCATCATTGGTATCAGTGGGAGGAATAGTGCCCCATCATTGGTGTCAGTGGAAGGAATAGTGCCCCATCATTGGTGTCAGTAGGAGGAATAGTGCCCCATCATTGGTATCAGTGGGAAGAATAGTGCCCCATCATTGGTGTCAGTGGGAGGAATATTGCCCCATCATTGGTGTCAGTTTGTTTTTCTCACAAAGGTGGAGTTACCCTCTAAATTCGTTCATATACAGCAAATAAGGGTTTGTCCCAGATGGCACTTTTAATAAATGTCACCATAAAGATCGATCTGCAAGGCCCACCATACACGTTACAATCTGACCGCACAAATCTTCTGTAGACGTGCGATTCAAGGGAACGAATTTCAAGGAATCAGAAAAAAATTATAACAAAAGAAATTATTTGAATTAAAAAATGAAATGGAAACAAAATGCAACAAATACTGTGAGGTATAAAAGTGAAAGTAGATGGCGATTCCAACTTAGGCTACTTTTTTTTAGAATGGAATAGAATAAAAAATAAAGGAAAAGAATTAAATAAAACAGAAAAAATAGAATAGAATAAAATAACAAAAAGAGAATAGAAAAAATAAAAAAGAATAGAACGAAGATAGTTGTCTTCCAAAATTTAAATTTGTGAATTTCGAATTTTGGAAGACAGCTGTATTCATTCTATTTTATTTTTTCTATTCCACCCTATTCTATTCTTTTGTTTTTTTTATTCTATATTCTATTCTGTTTTATTCTATGCTATTCAGCAGCCTAAGTAGGAATCATCATCTTGTTTCACTTTTATTACTTTCTGTATTTATTGCAATATGTTTCCATTTTGAATTCAAAATCATTTTGAATCAATTTTAAAATAACGAAAATATGAAATGAATTTTCAATCATTCTAACATAACAAATATGACGGACTGAACTATTAACATAATGAACTAATCCAAAAACAAAACAAAACCAATTTTTCAGTTGTTTCTATTCTATTTTTTTATTTTCTATTCTATTTTTTTTTATTCTTTTCTTTTCTGTTTTACTCTATTCCATTCATTTCTATTCTATTCTTTTCTATTCCTATATTTTCTATTTTATTTAGTTTTATTCTATTCTATTCCCATATTTTCTATTTTATTCTATTTTACTCTATTCCTATAGTTTCTATTTTATTTTTTTCTATTTTACTCTTTTCCTTTAATTTCTATTCTATTCCTATATTTTCTATTTTATTCTTTTTACTTTTTTCCTTTAATTTCTATTCTATTCCTATATTTTCTATTTTATTCTTTTTTCACTCTATTCCTTTAATTTCTATTCTATTCCTATATTTTCTATTTTATTCTTTTTTACTTTAATTTCTGTTCTATTCTATTCCTATATTTTCTATTTTATTCTGTTTTATTCTATTCCTTATAATTTTTATTTTATTTTCTACGCTGTTCTATTTTTTTTTTATTCTATTTTATTATTTTGTACAAATCAACGTTAGATCTATCAAAGCAATGTAATACGAGGACCGGCCTAATCTATCCCACCCATTAATATCCAAGCAGGCAGGTCCTTGTCCTACATAGCTGATGGTTGATCCAGAGCAGATTGGGCAATCAGATTGTATAGTGTATGGTCAGTATAACCCCTCCCCCCCCTTCATTTTCATGGTCCTGTATGGAGACGATACAGAAGCCTTATTTCTATCCAACAGTCTACAGGTAGAATTAGAGGGATGGTTCACCTTCATTCCGATTGATTTCAGGGACCTGCGGGGACCCTCCGATCCTCTGCTTACCCAGAATGCCGTTCTCTGATCGGGGACCGTGCGAGAAACCGTTTTAAAAGGAAATCGTCTTGTGCAAGATCAACGTTGTTGACAGTTTGTGGCTCCGCCCCCCGAGTGGGACTATGAAGCCGGACCGACACCCTGACTGAGCTGGGACTGGGAGAGCCGGGGAGATCACTATCTACACTCAGCTATCCAATACCAACAAGAGGACCTGTCTACACGCAGCAACTGTCCTACCATACATACAGGACGAGGACAGATACCGAGAACGACACCCGGCATCCAGAGCAGGAGAAGTGGGACTGTGCAGAGTCCATACATACAGAACGAGGACAGATACCGAGAATGACACCCGACATCCAGGACAGGAGAAGTGGGACTGTGCAGAGTCCATACATACAGAACGAGGACAGATACCGAGAATGACACCCGACATCCAGGACAGGAGAAGTGGGACTGTGCAGAGTCCATACATACAGAATAAGAGGAGATACCGAGAATGACACCCGGCATCCAGGACAGGAGAAGTGGGACTGTGCAGAGTCCATACATACAGAATAAGGGGAGATACCGAGAATGACACCCGGCATCCAGGACAGGAGAAGTGGGACTGTGCAGAGTCCATACATACAGAATAAGAGGAGATACCGAGAATGACACCCGGCATCCAGGACAGGAGAAGTGGGACTGTGCAGAGTCCATACATACAGAATAAGGGGAGATACCGAGAATGACACCCGGCATCCAGGACAGGAGAAGTGGGACTGTGCAGAGTCCATACATACAGAATAAGAGGAGATACCGAGAATGACACCCGGCATCCAGGACAGGAGAAGTGGGACTGTGCAGAGTCCATACATACAGAATAAGAGGAGATACCGAGAATGACACCCGGCATCCAGGACAGGAGAAGTGGGACTGTGCAGAGTCCATACATACAGAATAAGAGGAGATACCGAGAATGACACCCGGCATCCAGGACAGGAGAAGTGGGACTGTGCAGAGTCCATACATACAGAATAAGAGGAGATACCGAGAATGACACCCATGCTCAGTACCACTTCCCATAGAGCCCTCAGAGGGGGGAGGGCACACTGACCATGGGGGGTGTTTGCTCCTTTAAGCCCTCCAGGAAGAGGTAATGAGCTGGGCTGTGGGGGGGGGGGATGGGGGGTTATGGGGGGATGAGGGGAATTATTATCCGTCCTCCATGGACATGCCAGACAGAGCCGGAGATTATCCCGTTATCTCTGCACCGCTGAGCGGCCAAAGACTTCACCCGGCAGCCACATTAACCCCTCTGACCAGGGGCGGGCTGACCATTTGGAAACTTAGGCACCGGCCGAGGGCCCGGGGTCAGTACGGGGCCCCATGAGATGCCCCTGGTACCTTTCAGAGGCTTTTTTGGGTGTGGTTTGAGTGTAGGCGAGGACACAGGGGCCCCATGATCCCCTATTGCCCGGGGGCCCCATGAGTTGTCACTCCACCCCTACCTCTGACCCGGGCTGACCAACCCCCCACACCATTTTACACCCACTCACAGTGCACTGACAGAGGAACCAATCACTCAGCGCCCCCTAGTGGCTATTTGCATCAGACAATGCAGACAGCATCCTTGCTGAATGACTACTACAGGAAAATCAATCATTGCAGGCATACAGCGTCGGTCTGATGGTTCGCTAAGTTTGCTCAGGAGATGGTCAGAGACTGCAGACATAGTACAGGAGATGACCAGAGACTGCAGACATAGTACAGGAGATGACCAGAGACTGCAGACATACTACAGAAGATGGTCAGAGACTGCGGACACAGTACAGGGATGACCAGAGACTGCGGACACAGTACAGGAGATGACCAGAGACTGCAGACATAGTACAGGAGATGACCAGAGACTGCGGACACAGTACAGGAGATGGTCAGAGACTGCGGACACAGTACAGGAGATGACCAGAGACTGCGGACACAGTACAGGAGATGACCAGAGACTGCGGACACAGTACAGGAGATGACCAGAGCCTGCAGACACAGTACAGGAGATGACCAGAGACTGCAGATACAGTACAGGGAATGACCAAAGACTGCGGACACAGTACAGGAGATGACCAGAGACTGCGGACACAGTACAGGGGATGACCAGAGACTGCGGACATAGTACAGGAGATGACCAGAGACTGCGGACACAGTACAGGAGATGACCAGAGACTGCGGACATAGTACAGGAGATGACCAGAGACTGCAGACATAGTACAGGAGATGACCAGAGACTGCAGACACAGTACAGGGATGACCAGAGACTGCGGACACAGTACAGGAGATGACCAGAGACTGCGGACACAGTACAGGAGATGGTCAGAGACTGCGGACACAGTACAGGAGATGACCAGAGACTGCGGACACAGTACAGGAGATGACCAGAGACTGCGGACACAGTACAGGAGATGACCAGAGACTGCAGACATAGTACAGGAGATGACCAGAGACTGCAGACATAGTACAGGAGATGACCAGAGACTGCAGACACAGTACAGGAGATGGTCAGAGACTGCAGACATAGTACAGGAGATGACCAGAGACTGAGGACATAGTACAGGAGATGACCAGAGACTGCAGACATAGTACAGGAGATGGTTAGAGACTGCAGACATACTACAGGAGATGACCAGAGACTGCAGACATAGTACAGGAGATGGTTAGAGACTGCAGACATACTACAGGAGATGGTCAGAGACTGCGGACACAGTACAGGAGATGGTCAGAGACTGCGGACACAGTACAGGAGATGGTCAGAGACTGCGGACACAGTACAGGAGATGACCAGAGACTGCAGACATAGTACAGGAGATGACCAGAGACTGCAGACATAGTACAGGAGATGACCAGAGACTGCAGACATAGTACAGGAGATGGTCAGAGACTGCAGACATACTACAGGAGATGACCAGAGACTGCAGACATAGTACAGGAGATGGTCAGAGACTGCAGACATAGTACAGGAGATGGTCAGAGACTGCAGACCTACTACAGGAGATGGTCAGAGACTGCAGAACTACTACAGGAGATGGTCAGAGACTGCAGACCTACTACAGGAGATGGTCAGAGACTGCAGACATACTACAGGAGATGGTCAGAGACTGCAGACATAGTACAGGAGATGATCAGAGACTGCGGACATAGTACAGGAGATGATCAGAGACTGCAGACATAGTACAGGAGCTGGTCAGAGACTGCAGACATGATACAGGAGATGGTCAGAGACTGCAGACCTACTACAGGAGATGGTCAGAGACTGCAGACATACAACAGGAGATGGTCAGAGACTGCAGAACTACTACAGGAGATGGTCAGAGACTGCAGAACTACTACAGGAGATGACCAGAGACTGCAGACATACTACAGGAGACGGTCAGAGACTGCAGACATACTACAGGAGACGGTCAGAGACTGCGGACACAGTACAGGAGATGGCTAAAGGTCACTCTCATTACAGTTCCTTTACAGGCCAATCCTCCCACATGAGTGATCCATATTGCCTCCTTAAACATCACTGATTTAATAAATAAAATTACTCATCATGACCATCACCTCCACCATCATCATCACCTCCCCCATCATCATCACCTCCACCATCATCATCACCTCCACCATCATCACCATCCCATCACCACTACTACCACGACCACCACCATCATCACCACCACCACCATTACATCATCATCATCACCACTACCACCACCATCATCATCACCACCACACTACCACCATCATCATCACCACCACTACCACCACTACCACCATCACTACCACCACCATCATCATCACCACTACCACCACCATCATCATCATCATCACTATCACCATCATCATCACTACCACCACCATCATCATCACTACCACCACCACCATCACACCACCACTACCACCATCATCATCATCATCACTACCACCACCACCATCATCACCACCACTACCACCACCATCATCATCATCACTACCACACAGAACGAAACAAATGACCATTTTTTTAAACATTCCGTTCACTAATCCTAAGTAATCTATTGGGGGTAGGAAAACGCTGATAACTGATGTCTGGGGCCCGAGGGGCCACACGGTCCCGGCATTTCTGAGCCATCTTCCAGTTGCTGTACATGGTGATGTGTCAGGAATGTCTCCATACAGCCTGGTAATGACAGGTCCACTTTATAATCAGAGCCCTGGCCGCCTCCCCTTTATAATAAGTCCCTCCCCCCTCGTGCCTGCGCTGCTCCTCCTCACTACATCCACATTTCTGTTTTGTTGATCACCAGGCCGGTAAAAATACCCCCATACATTTTATATATAAACAGCCACCTGTTCCTCAGCAGGGGCCCCCGGGGGGCCGCGTTAAAAATAATCCAGCAAGACCCTTAAAGCTCTCAGACAACACAGAGGAAGCCGGGAAATAACCGCGCCGTCCCCCCCGGGAATCGGGAATCGTTACAATGAGCCGCGCCGTCCCCTGGGAATCGTTACAGTAAGCCGCTCTGTACGCCGGGATTTACACCTTCTCTTCACTTTCTGTCCCACAGCCAAAGTGAGGGGATCCCTGGTTGTCACCAGAACTGGTGTCCCCATTGGAAGATTTCTCCTCTCTTCCTGTCCCACAAAGTTAGGGGATCCCTGGTTGTCACCAGAACTGGTGTCCCCATTGGAAGATTTCTCCTCTCTTCCTGTCCCACAAAGTTAGGGGATCCCTGGTTGTCACCAGAACTGGTGTCCCCTTTGGAAGATTTCTCCTCTCTTCCTGTCCCACAAAGTGAGGGGATCCCTGGTTGTCACCAGAACTGGTGTCCCCATTGGAAGATTTCTCCTCTCTTCCTGTCCCACAGCCAAAGTGAGGGGAACCCTGGTCGTCACCAGATCTGGTGTCCCCATTGGAAGATTTTCCCCTCTCTTCCTGTCCCACAAAGTGAGGGGATCCCTGGTGGTCTCCGGAACTGGTGTCCCCTTGGAAGATTTCTCCTCTCTTCCTGTCCCACAGGCAAAGTGAGGGGATTCCTGGTTGTCACCAGAACTGGTGTCCCCATTGGAAGATTTCTCCTCTCTTCCTGTCCCACAAGCACAGTGAGGGGATCCCTGTTTGTCACCAGAACTGGTGTCCCCAATGGAAGATTTCTCCACTTCCTGTCTCACAGCCAAAGTGAGGGGATCCCTGGTTATCACCAGAACTGGTGTCCCCATTGGAAGATATCTCTTCACTTCCTGTCCCACAGCCAAAGTGAGGGGATCCCTGGTGGTCACCGGATCTGGTGTCCCCATTGGAAGATTTCTCCTATCATCCTGTCCCACAGCCAAAGTGAGGGGATCCCTGGCTGTCATCAGAACTGGTGTCCCCATTGGAAGATTTCTCTTCACTTCCTGTCCCACAGCCAAAGTGAGGGGATCCCTGGCTGTCACCAGAACTGGTGTCCCCATTGGAAGATTTCTCCTCTCTTCCTGTCCCACAGCCAAAGTGAGGGGATCCGTGGTTGTGACCAGATCTGGTGTCCCCATTGGAAGATTTCTCCTCTCTTCCTGTCCCACAGCCAAAGTGAGGGGATCCCTGGCTGTCACCAGAACTGGTGTCCCCATTGGAAGATTTCTCCTCTCTTCCTGTCCCACAGCCAAAGTGTGGGGATTCCTGGTGGTCACCAGAACTGGTGTCCCCATTGGAAGATTTCTCCTCTCTTCCTGTCCCACAGCCAAAGTGTGGGGATCCCTGGTTGTGACCAGATCTGGTGTCCCCATTGGAAGATTTCTCCTCTCTTCCTGTTCCACAAAGTGAGGGGTCCCTGGTGGTCACCGGAACTGGTGTCCCCATTGGAAGATTTCTCTTCACTTCCTGTCCTACAGCCAAAGTGAGGGGATCCCTGGTGGTCACCGAAACTGGTGTCCCCATTGGAAGATTTCTCCTCTCTTCCTGTCCCACAGCCAAAGTGAGGGTTTTCCTGGTTGTCACCAGATCTGGTGTCCCCATTGGAAGATTTCTCTCTTCCTGTCCCATAGCCAAAGTGAGGGGATCCCTGGTTGTCACCAGATCTGGTGTCCCCATTGAAAGATTTCTCCTCTCTTTCTGTCCCACAAAGTGAGGGGATCCCTGGTGGTCACCGGAACTGGTGTCCCCATTGGAAGATTTTCCTCTCTTCCTGTCCCACAGCCAAAGTGAGGGGATCCCTGGTGGTCACCAGATCTGGTGTCCCCATTGGAAGATTTCTCCTCTCCTCCTGTCCCACAAAGTGAGGGGATCCCTGGTTGTCACCAGAACTGGTGTCCCCATTGGAAGATTTCTCCTCTCTTCCTGTCCCACAGCCAAAGTGAGGGGATCCCTGGTGGTCACCGGATCTCGTGTCCCCATTGGACGATTTCCCCTCTCTTCCTGTCCCACAAAGTGAGGGGATCCCTGGCTGTCACCAGAACTGGTGTCCCCATTGGAAGATTTCTCCTCTCTTCCTGTCCACACAGCTGATTGGAGGGAATCACACAGCGCAGAGACTGAGAGCCGTGTGACAGTGGCGGTGCTGGGAGTACGCAGTGAGCGCGCTCTCAGCACAGAAACCTCGGCCCATGTATAGCGCAGGGGCATTAAACCCCGCCCACTTTGCTGACGCACACATGCGTTCGGTCAATACTTGATGCGCATTCCCGCGCTTAGCGTATTGTAATGAATGGGCCGCCTTATGTGCGAGAAACATGCATGAAAAAAAAGACGCCGCGCCGAAATGCGTGGTAATGTGGCATCGCGTGTGTTTGCCAGATGAACATGGGCGTGCCTTTTAGGGGCGGTTCACACTCTAGGATGCGTTTACACGTGCGTTTTTTTTGTGTTCTCGCGCACTTTTTTTATGCATTCAATTTTTTACCCCTTTTTCATCAATTCAAATGAGTTCCATTGCGTTTTGATGCGTTTTCCGTGTGCGTGCATTTTTGATGCGTTTTTTACCGCGTTGCAGCGCAGTTCTGTGCAGAAAAACCGCAGCCTGTTCTACTTCTTTTTCTGCACCTGGAACCGCGAGCGCTGATGTGAACGATGACACCGACCGCCCTATCGCCTGCTTTCTGTGCGTTTTGGACGCAGAAAAAAAAAATAAAAACAACTGAAACGCATGGAGTGTGAACCGGCCCTAAGAATTAATGGCATATATACGAAAAATAAACTAAAATTAAATGAAATTAAATAAAAATATGAAAAAATAAAATGAAATAAAATAAATATACGAATAAATAAAATAAAAATATGAAAAAAAACCTAAATTAAATAAAATACATGAATGCATAAAATAAATATATGAAAAAACAAAATGAAATAAAATAAATATATGAATAAATAAACTAAATATGAAAAAATAAAATGAATATATGAAAAAATAAAAATATGAAAAGAAAATAAATAAAATAAATAAAATAAATATAAAAAAAAATAAAAAATAAAA